CTTGGGAATTGGGAACCCGCCGGGATCCCTGGCCCCCAGCCCAGCCCCTCCACAGACCCCGCCTCCCTCCATCCCCACCCAGGCCCCGGTCTCGGCTCCGCCCTTGATCCAAGCCTTGGCCACACCCTGTCCCTCTGCTCCCGCTCAGGCCCTGCCTCCCTGCCTGGAGCTCAGTGGGAGGCGTGGTTAAGGCCAAGGGGTTGTCTCATTTAACTGCTTTTCAAAGTGTTGCTTTATTTATTGGTTTGTTTATTGGGTACTGGGAATCCAACTCTGGACCTCGTGCTTGCAAGGCAGGCAGCAGCATCACTGAGCTAAATTCCCAGCCCTGTTGCTTTATTTATATCAGAAATAAAACCTTGTAGTGAGCAATGTCTCCGTGTATAGAGACTGTGTCTTATTCCTGGGTGCCTGGATCATGAGAGGAAAAACACAAAAGCCTGCACCCCCGCTAGAGAACAAACCACAGTTCCCATCAGTTCCCATCATCCCTCCATGTCTGCCTTGGTGGATTTTATAGATTTTCATATCTTCCTATATTTCATTAACTTGGGACAGTGATCTCTCCAGGAGGGCTAGAGTTTAACTCACCCCTGAAGAGAGAATGTTAAGTCCTAGCGCTGTGTGCTTCCCCACAACCTCATTCTCTGCTGACTTTCCCAAGACACTCTGTGCCTCACTTAACATTTAGGGGCCCTAGGCCTGTAGACTGGGTTTCCTTTTCTACAGTGGTATGGTAGATAGGTAAGTTAGATATCAAGCAGCTAGACGTCCAGCCCTCACGGAGTCAATATAAAATACAAATAATACACCATTTGTACTTCCTCTAGAGGTGGATAGCAGTGATTCATAGAGGTATCAATCATCTGGGTGGGGACCAAGGCCTTAATCCATCGCTTCCCTGACCCATCACCAAAAATGCGTTCCCTGTATGCATGCTCTGTGACTTGCTTCCCCATCTGATCCCCATCTAATCAATATTACCTATACTCGTAATCTACCGGTTGATCATAGTTTTGTCCCATCATACCCACCCTGTGATTTCCCATTGGATCAATATTACCTAAGAGACAGTACTTGTAATCTTACTGGTTGACTATAGTTTTGTCCCACCTTGAACCTGCTTCACCTCATGGCTTTGCTCTTTCATAAAAACCCCCTGGGAACCGATCCCCAGGCAACCCACTTTCTGGCCCCCCCTCTGTCTCTCTTAGAAGCTGTCTTTCTCTCAATAAATTCTTCTGCTCTTAAACTTCCACTGTGCCTAGAATTCATTCTTCAGTTTTAGAGAACACAAACTCGCATTTAGGTATCTAGCAGGCTTGTCAAAATAGACTTTGAATAGCCAGGCGTGGTGGCCCACGTCTGTAATCCCAGCACTCAGGAGGCTGAGGCAGGAGGGTGGCTGTGAGTTCAAGACCAGCCTGGGCTACATAGTGAGTTCCAGGTCAGTCTCCGCTACATAGTGAGACCCTGTCTCACTATGGATAATGATATGATTTTATGTCATTCTATGAAAGCCTAAGTTTTATGAAGAGTAATTATTAGTTCTTTGTTCTTGTGTTAAAAATCTTATGTTCTTAAAACATTAAACTAATACACTAAATGAAAAAAGGTATATTAAAAAAAAGTATATGGGGGGCCCAGAGGTCAGTGCCTCAGAGTGGGCAAAGACAAAGATGCTCTGAGGTAGCCACTATTTACTGGGTACACAGAGTAATTGGAGGGAGCATCAGGTGACTTAGGGGGCAGCAGCAGTCCTATGTTGATGAGGATTTTAGGTAGCCAAGGATCTTATGCTGATGAGGGCGATAAGGAGAGCATTCTTATCTAGTAGGTGGGACAACATAGCAGGCTAATAAAGAAATTGTCCTTCCCCCAGGTGGAACCTGCCTCTTTTTTTATCACTCAGGAAGTCTCAGCTGATGTACTCTTGCCCTTGAGCATGACTGTATCTCAGACCAACGAGGCCTCAATTTTTGACAGGAAGCAAAACAAATATGTTTCTTTTTTTGGTACTGGGGATTGAACTTGGGTCCTAGCGCTTGCAAGGCAGACAGCAGAACCACTGAGCTAAATCCCCAGCCCAACAGAGGGATGTTTCTGCATGCCATAGCAAGGTGGCATTGGGCCTTAGACAACTATAGTCATACTTGAATTATAAAATAATTTTTCCCCAAAATGTATGTAGAATGGCTTTCGACAGTGATCAGTGAAGTGGTATAAAAAAGGGCACCTCGGAGCCCTTTCTCCAAATGCACAGGCACAGAAACCAGAGAAACAATGGTATTTTATTGAATTACGCACAGGCCAGCTTCCCATCGAAACTGGTCAAGCAGATGGCGAATGCTTGGAGTGGGCAAAGAGGGAAGCAGAAGTCCATGGTGAATATATCTGGAGCCACACGGCCGAACTGCAGCACCACCTTGTCAGCTGTGAGAAAATCAGAATCTGAGCCTTAGCCACAGCCCCTCAGGCGCCGGTTTCTGAGCTGTGGAAACTCAGCCACCTAAGCCAGGAGGTGCTCTGGGGGCTGTGTGAACTACAATTCCCAGGAAGTATCGCAACAGGGAGCAGACCCAGGCAAACTCTCAAGTGCTGATGGGAGCAGTAGCTCTTAGGCGCTGATGCCCCTTTGACCCAGGGAAGGCAGATCCCAGAAGCTCACGCTTGTTGGGGTAGATGATCTGGAAGTTCTTGACTGAGGCTTGAGTCACTCGCCCGTGAAAATTGAGCACGAAGGTGTCACTCTCATCGCTCCACACCGGTGGTTTGTTTTGCAGCAGGACCAACCCCTGCCTGGCGCCCCTTTGGAAGCGACTCAGTAGCGATTCCTCTTCCTTTGAAGGTAGAGTAGGGACATGGCGCATTAGCCTGCCCCAGCCAGCTTTACCCCTTAGAACACTGGAGTTCTGTACGTAGTCTTTACTCCCAGGCACAAGGGTCTGGCAGAGTCCCCTAGGCTTGGGAATGGGACCTGCAGCCTACCAGCCCCCTCCTCTCTGAGCATCCAGGGCAACACTTCATGGACCCAGATTCCCCACCTTTGCAACTTACGGTTTCTGGCTGGACCCTGATTCTCTGATTGTGGCTGTTGATTTCTGGAATGATCACAGTCATTTTTCGAGGCCCTCGGGCCCCCCACACATTGGGCTTCTGGGAGTATTAGAGTCCAGTTGTGCTGGCTCTGCCTCCTTCTCCCTCCCCTGCGCCTCACACTTCCCTGCAGGGACACTTACATAGCACACAGCCCCCAGCTCCTGTCTAATCTGGGTCTTATCCAAGTGTGAGTTTTCGTCTTCAGGATTCACCCCATCGTCGAAAATGACAAACTTGGTGCCCAAGGTATTGGACCTGCCCCAGGCCAGCAGTAGAGAGAATAATAGTAAAATTTGTTAGTCCTTGACTGTACTTCAAGGGCTGGCCAAATCAATACCCTAGATAAAAAGTCAGCTTCCCTCTCCGCAGTCTCAGCCCTCCAACACACCTTTTAGCCTCCTGCCTCGGTCCTTCAGGGACCCACTTTCCTTCAGCACGTAAGCACTCACAGATCACAACCCCTGATTTCCTCCCTTCCTCCTGTTTTCACCACACATCGGGGCTCTGCCCACCTGACTTTGCCCACAAAGTTGTCCCCATCCCGGGATAGGTCCATTGGGTCCAAGGAAATAAGATAATTAGAGGTTTTACTCCACTTTCTCTTGCGCCCAGCCAGGAGGAAGTGCTGTGGATTTAAGGAAAGCCCATCAGAATGGATTTCCGGGATCTGGGCAGAGCTAGAAGCCCAAGACCAAGAAATGCCCTGTATCACGGAAAGAGGGGAAACTAAGTGACCCCAAACATGTGGGAGATGAAATCCTAGTGGAACCATCACCTGGGGCCTGAAGGGCAGCTTAACCTCTTACTCTCTCCCCTCCTCCCTCCACCCACCCGTGGAGCTGGGCCAGGGCTTTAGCTCAGGCAGGGCCTGGCTTGAAGAACTCAAGAACGGGAAGTCCTATCATCAGGGGAAATGGGTCTGGATCTGAGCAAGTGAAAGCCTCTTTGCAGAAGGAGTGAGGGAAAGAGGGAGGAAGGGAGGAAGAGGAAGAGGAGAGGTGGCCACACTGGGAGGAGAAGGGCACACTGAGGTCCTGACTTGGCTCTGGGGGTGGAGCTTACACCCGGAGTGGGAGGGGCCTGTCAGCCTGAGGTTGCCCTGAGTGGCACTGAAGGGACTGCAGTTCACAGAGGTGAGGTGGGCGGGGCTGTGGGTCGTTGGGGGCTGGCCTGACTTTGAAACAGCTGAGCCCAGGCTAATGGGCTGGCTCGGTGATGGCATGGGCAGAACCTGTGCAACTCTCTACCAGGAAAGGAGAGAGCAGGGCTTGGCACTGGAATTGACAAGTCTTAGGGCTATGACAAGTGGCCTGGATTCCCCAAACCTTGTCCTGTGCTGTGGAAGAGGACTTGCTCCTTGACCGCACCTTCCAGCTGTCGGCTGCCTCTAGGTAGAGGTAGTACACGGGGAACAGGCCCTTTTCCATGCCCCGCTGGTCCCTGCGGATGAAGCACTGCAACTTGTGGCCCTCCTGTGGCGGCCGCAGCATGTACGCCTTCAGATCCTCGCCTGGCTGAGGGCCCGGGGCCAGAGGTGAAGAGTTGGCCACGCTCCCCACATCACGGCTGCCCTCGTCTTCCAAGGCCCAGGGCACGGCCTCGTTGTCTACTGCTTGCGAGTTTATTCCCACAGAGTGGGACTCTTCACTCTGCTCTTCCGGGTCTATGTTCTAACTCATGCCAAATTCAAAGTTGAGGGAGGAAAAAAAAAGTTGAGAGAGAAATGTGGCCCCATCCTTGCCAACTAGTGAGTAGCCAAGCCCGCTCGAGGTCACACACCGCAATCACCCATGGCTTCTACTTATTGGTCCAATCTCAGTCCTAAGTTGAGAGAGAAATGTGGCCCCATCCTTGCCAACTAGTGAGTAGCCAAGCCCGCTCGAGGTCACACACCGCAATCACCCATGGCTTCTACTTATTGGTCCAGCATCTCAGTCGGCCCACCCAGCCCACCCGCATACATCTGTTGATTGGCTAACTTTATTAGCTCCCCCCACAGCCACGCCCACACCACCATCCCATTGGAAAATCACTCGAGAGCCCCGCCCATCCCCCTAACCCTGGGTGTTCTGGATGACCCAGTACAGCCACAGTGAGCCTCTCTACTGCGAGTCACCAACACCAGAATAGCGCTTTTCCTGTCACCTCTAACTGGGGCCCAGAGCTGTATCCCCACCCTCCCCTGCTGTCTGAGGCTCTCTCTCCTCTTCCTACTCTCTTAGCACCGCGCCTCGTCCCACCTTGCAGAATATCAGGTCTCCGTGTCTTCTCCCATCACCATCCATTCCACAGGCTGATCCCCACCCGAACCACTCGTATTCATCTTCCACATCCTGGGCTTCACTCTGGTCGTACCCATCGCCCTCTAAGAGGGAGGAAAAGGCAGGACTGAGCTCAGTATGCTGGATCCCAGGAAGCTGGGTCAAGGTCTTCAGGGCTAGATGATGGTGCCAGAACCCCTGGGATGTCGGGAAGGCTCGTTATTCACTGCTCTCCTTGTTAGGTCCTTTTCACCCCAGGCATGGAGGGCGCCAGGACTGAGGAGTCCCGACTTCCCTGAGCTCCAGGACAGGAAGAGGTTAGAGTCCCCCACCCACTGTGGCCCCAGGGCCGGGGCAGGGCCTGTGCCTGCTTGGCTAGTGCTCTGTACAACACGGACATTGTGCCTTAAAGTCCTTTCTTCCCCTTATCCCACTCAGGGCATCAGAGATGGGAGGTAATGTACAGGGGTGAATTTGGGGACGATAAAAAGTCCTAGTGAGACAGGAATTGAGGCAAAGCTGGCTGGGGAAGTGGATGTGACCTCTTAATTACAAGGTCCCAAAACATGTGCTCAGAACATCTTCCAAAGCCCTGCACATGAATTTCTGAAGAGAACTCAGGCAGGTTCCATAGCCCGAGGCAAGGAATCCCAGCACCATCCCTCAGGACCCGTTTGTCCAAGTCCTCATGGGTTCCCTCAAGATTCGGACAGCACAGAACAACACAGGTGCCAATAAGAGCCCACCGTAGTTGCCTTCCTCACAACGGCTGCCCTGTGTCCCCCAGCATGTTCCTTTATCTTGTTTTTTCCCTCTTTTACTCAGCTCAAGTTCGCTCTGCAGAACCAGTTTTCCCCTTACTTTTCACTTTCACTTTTTTATTAATTTTTTATTTTTGATATCAGGGGTCAAACTTGGGTCCTTGTGCTTTTGAGGCAGGTGTTGAAACCACTAAGCTAAATCCCCGGCCCACTTTTACTTTTTTAAATAAATTTTGCTTCTGTTTTTTTGCTCATTTTGTCCAATTCTTTCTCTGAGATGAGAAGAACCTGGAAACCAACTCCAGAAGGAGACATGAGCATCACAAAACCCAATAACATTTATTGCCAAGCCTAGGAAGGGCTACCTGGTAACGCTGTCTTCAAAATCTTAGCTATGCAATTATAATAAAAATAATGAACTTTCTGTAATGCTGCCACGTGGATGACCCTTTAAAATTTGCTTTGTGAATGAAGCCAGGCCAAAGAAATCTACATATTATATGGCTCCAGTTATATGAAAAGTGCAGAATTGGTACATCTAAAGTAGAAGAGGAATTTAGTTGGGTGACTGCAAAAGTTTCTATTTGAGATAATGAATGGTTTGTTTTTGAGACAGGATCTGGCTATGTAGTTCAGACTGGCTTTGAACTTACTACGTAGCCCAGGCTGGCCTCAAACCCATGGTAATCCTACTGCCTCAGGCCCCAAGTGCTGGGATTACAAGTGTGTGTTACCATGCCCAAAGTGATGAATAATCTCTAAAACTATTGTAGTAGTGGTTGCAGAACTCCGAATATAGTAAACACCATGAAATTCTACATTATGCATAAGTGAATGGTATGGCACATGAGTTATCTTTCTTTTTCTTTTCTTTTTTTTAAATTTTTGGTACCAGGGATCGAACTTAGGTCCTTGAGCTTGGGAGGCAGGCAGTAGCACCACTGAGCTAAATCCCTGGCCTGTGAGTTATCTTTCAATAAAGCTGTCACCAAAGAAGGAGGACAAACTGTCACATGCACAAGTGGCCAGATAGAACTCCCATGTCAGGGAAACTTCCAAGTTGGTGGTGGCTGGCCAACCTCTGGGATGAGATCCCCACAGGCTTATGAGGCGGTGCCAGGGTGGGGCAGGATGTGACTTCCTCAACTTGAATGTCAGCATTTGGGAGCCAGGCTGGGGAAGGGCTAGATAGTGGGTTCCTGAGCTGCACTGGGGAAAAAAGAGCTGGGAACTGGGAATCCTGGATCAGGATAAGGAGGTTCAGGACCTATCTCTTCCAAGTGAAGGACAGAGGTGGTATTGTCAACTCGTGAGCCCTTTGGAGACCTAGGATTGGGATTTCCACCTCTTAGTGTCCTCACAAGGCCCAATTGTGGAGGACAAGGGTCCTGGGCGCCGAGATTACCTGCTTGTGTAGGCCACCCCAGGGCCCAGCAGTCCCTGGTGCCATCTCCATCACAGTTTATGGTGGCATCCAGGGGGCTGTGGAACCTGGAGTCCGGATGAGCGTCTGGCATGTGTTCGTGGAGAGCAGAGCCTGCAAGAAGGTGTGGCAAGGCTTGTAGAAACAAAGTACAAGTCCTAGTGCTCAATGAAGATCTGCCCCTCACTGGACTCCCAGATATTGGCCCTGATTTTCTAATCAAACCCTTGATTCTTGCTGAGTCCAAACTCCACCCCACGGCTCAACTCAGGACAGCCCCTCCACTAAATTACTGCACACTCGGTAACTAAACACCCCACACCAACTCTCATACTCTTCTCGGACCTTGGGTCTAGGTCCGGGACCTCAAACTCAGCCTGGCTGCTAACAGGACTCATGAGGCCCCGCCCCCTGCTCCGCAAGGCCCCGCCCCACCCGGCCCTCTGGCCCCGCCCCTGCTCCCTTAACTCCTTCCCCGCAGACCACTCCCTGGGCTGACTTCCAGCAGCCCTATTACCTCTGTCACTAGCAAAGTGCTCTGACTGCAATCGCCCGTGCCACAAGGACGCATAGCGATTGGCCTGAACCATGAGTGGTTCTTCGCGCTTCCGTCGTTGCTTCTTCTCAAATAGCCGCCGCCGCTGCAGGAGGACAAACGGGGCACAGCAACCGAGGGGAGATAAGGATGAGAGGGGCCCATGGAGTCAGAACAGCTTCCTCCACCGGCGCCAGGTTCCCAGGGTCATATTCCCTTGGGTCCAAGAGACGGAGCACCCAGTCATCTTCTAGGATCTAGAAGTCCTAGCCAGGTGTGGTGATGACCATAATCCTCGCACGCAGGAGGCTGAGGCAGGAGGTTTACCGTAAATGTTTCCCCTGGCAACTTGGACCCCGGCTCTAAAGAGAGCGTATAGGATGTTTAATGAGTTCAAGGCCACCCTGGACTACACAGTGCTGTCTCAAAAAACAAAAACAAAGGGCTGGGGATTTAGCTCAGTGGAGCCACCCACCTGGCAAACACAAAATCCTGAGTTCAATCTCCCAAAAATCTAAAAACAAATAATCCTGTGCTCTAGGATCTCTGTTCCTTAGAAATCAGTGTCATTGCCAGATTTGCTTTTTTAAGATCCCAATTCCTATGTTCTCATTTCCTAATTGGAGGATCCTAAGGGCCAGACAGCGCCACCACAGGTGTAGGGACCCAAGTGTTGGAGGTTTGATTCCCGAGTACCTGCTGCTCCAGCTTCTGCAGCCTCAGGGCAGTGGGCTCCTCCATCGCAGTCCTGAGACAGAAACAAAGGTCAGGTCCGCAGTGAGAGCCTGCAGGGCACCCGGCATCCCCAGAACCCCTGTCTGCCCCTGAGCAGTGAGTTCTGAGCACTGTGAGGTCACAGAAGGCACAGAACCTGAGCCTCCTGCGTCTCATCTGAAGCTCTAGCTCCCACACCCGCCGGTTTAAAGTCCAGCAGTAGAGATCCTGGCCCAGTCCCTGCGGTTTTCACCCCCAGGAATTTTTCCAGTAGCCCTGTCCCTTTAGGGCCTAGTTCAGTCCCAGTCCCTACCCGAAAGGCTGACGAGCGCCCGTGTGTGATTATGAGGCCCAGGATGAATGCAGGGGCCCCAGAGAACCCCAAGTCGTCCTTCCATCTCTGCTGCTGACCCCATTTGGTTTGCCCACTCACCATTTCACCCAAGAGTTATTCTCTTGAGACATCCTGGGACACGAGGAGGAATCAGAACCAGAGCCAACATAACAGTGCACCCTGGCCTCCGGCACTCAACCCAAGCTTTCGTTTTTTTCAGATAGGGTCTTGCTATGTAATCCAGGCTGGCCTTGAACTCACTGTGTAGCCCAGGCTGGCCTTGAATGTGGGGGCGATCCTCTGGCTTCAGTCTCCCTACTGCACCACCACACCTGGCTCCAGGCCCTCATTTTTGTCCCAGACTCAGGAAGCCCAAACCCAGTATGCCCTCTTCCTGAAACCCAGTAGTCTGTTTCCAGTTTCTAACTCAGGGTTCTGGTCCCCACACACCTGGCCCCACGGGGCTCCCTGCACTCCCTGCCTAGGATCCTGGCTGCTCCTCTCTCCTGTTGACCCTCCTGTCAGGAGAGCTACTCACATTCAGCTTGGTGGCTGCCTTTGCCCTGGTCACACCGCTCTAAATATTCTGGACACTCTCTCTGGGGCTGGGGACTAAGACCCTAGGGGAAGAAAAGGGTCCAAGAGGCAGGGGAAATTCCCACAGGGACCTGCCCAGGCAGGTCTTCCCTCTTGGCCTACAGTGCTCCTCTTCCAGCAGTGACCCCTGACGCCAGCCACTGCAGCCTGGCAACCCACTGCAGGGGTTCTGGATTGGAACTGCGTGTGGGTGTCCCTCAAAGTGACCCCAGAAAGGCCACCTACAGGTCTCACTTAGTATTGAGAGGTGAGGTGTTCAGAGTCTCACTATGTTGCCCAGGATGGCCTCAAGCTTGCAACGATCCTCTTGCCTCAGTCTCCTGAGTGCTGGGATTACAGGTGGGCACTGCCACTTCCAGTTCAAACTCACCCATAAAAGCTCGGTGTGGTGGCGCCCGCCATTAATCCCAGCACTCTGAGAGGCTGAGGCAGGAAGACAGCAAATTCAAACCCAGCCCAAGCAATTTAGGGAGACACTGCCTCAAAAATTAAACAGGGAGGCAGATGCAGTGATGTAATTTAGTGCGAAGGGTCTTGGTTCAATTCCCCAGTACAAAAAAACAAAACAAGACAAAAGATTATAAGGTGGATTGTGCAACTTCCACAGACCGAACTCTAACTTTTAGGCACTTGTGGGGCGAAAATACATGAGAAAACTACACCTCCCGTGAGGCGAAGGGGCCAAGGTGCCCACGGAAGTCGCCTTCTCTTCCCGACCTGCAGGGAACCGTGGCTCCCTCCGCAGGTCCCGCCTGCTTTTCACCTACCAAGCAGGAAACGACGTGTCGGGCGCCGGCTTTTCCAGCAAGGAGGCGTGGCTTCCGAGAACAGGCGAACCAGAACGGCGAGGGGCGCCGGGGCCGCTGGTAGCAGATGAAAGGACCAATCAGGCCTTGGGGCGTGTCCTGCTCCGGAAGTGGGCGCGGCCTAGGAGGGAAAACGCTGGGAACGGGCCGGAGGTCCCCGCCTGGAGGACGCCCTCTGCAGTAAGGATGGGGGCGTCGGGGTCCCTGGCTTTTGGGTACTGGGAGGAGGGTGGCCAGAGGACGGGGGCCCTGGGAATTGAAGGAGGGGGTGCTGAGTGTCAGTGCTTGTAGAGTCTGGGGAAAGAGGAGCTGGGGCCTGAGGAGGGTGTAGGAGCCACGACCACGGGGTCTGAGGACCCGGGCTCCTGTGTCGCCGGAAGGGGAGGCGAGAGGCCTGGCGTCCCGGGTCGCAGGTCGCGCTGCGTCTC